GACCAGTCTGACTTGTTCAGATCAAAATTAAGGTAGATTTTTTTTCCTTAAGTGAATAATACATAATCTCTCCTACTGAAATATTTAAACATTACAAATGGGGCTGAAGTTTCCTTAAGCACCATGCCAGTCCCCAAAGGGGATGCTGAAGTCGGCTGTGGATCTTTCCAGCCCTCTCCAGGGCCTCACTTACACGGGCATGTGTCGATGAGCTTACTCTCATTTTATGGCTGAAATAGTCACATCACGAGGAAGTTCAGCGGAGTTCGGGGCAGGGCTAAGAACGCAGTGGGGCTTCCCGAACTGTAGGGATCTGGAAGGCAGCCGATGCGAACAGCAGCGAAGAGCTCAAAGAGCCTGTGACCAAGCACATCAGCCCGTGAGGCCCTGCCCTTCACTCTCTCGTGACATTCGCATCGAGCCGCTCTGATCATCAGGCGTGCGCAGCCACCTGTGTGAGTCACAAGCCAGCCAGACTCAAAGACCCAGGAGCTCTGGAACACTCCTAGATGTAATGCCGGCCCGGCTGGGTCAGCCAAAGCCAGAGCCATCTTGTTCCTCAGGCCCGGGCCCAACTCCACCTCCTGTTTGAGCCAGCTACGTCCCCCTACTCATGACCCTCTCGTCTGCCTTGGGACTCCAAGGATCCTTTGAACGGCTGTCTTGGTTCTCTCCTCCCCCCACTGGATCCAATCTCCACCACCACCAGAACCTGGTGGGGCCCCCGCTCTAGCGAGCAGAGCTTGGCACGCAATAGGCACTCAATAAAGACTACTGAGAAAACGAATTCGTGCATTCACCGAACAGATACTTGTTGAGCACCTACTATACGAAGGACACTGTTCCAGGCGTGGGGGCGGGAAGGGAACACATAAAGGGATGAAGAATAGAAACCCACGGCCCACAGCAGCTTCCTTTCTCAGCGAGGCCTGTGAATCTTGTGATGTGCACTCTGCCCAAGCCAGGCCATCGGCACAAACCCCTCACCTCTGTCTCCAGGGCCTGACTTCTTCCTTCGTCCCTGACTCATAGCCTCCTTACCAACATAAGGGAAGAGCCAGAAACAAAGACTGGGATTAATGTTTTATTAATGATAACATTCATCCTGCATTTCTAAGATTTACATCCAAAAGAGCATATTGTATTTACATGCAACGGACAGCCCAAGGTAACAAATTCAAACCACAGCTCCTTTAAGAAAAGACTATGGCTTATTCCACGTTAAATTAAATACATTAATACTCTTCCCTTCTCCTTGCAACACGTACACTAAAAACCCACTCTTTTTTCTTTCAGGAAATATAAAATTGCATTGATAACTGCGCTGGTTAACGACAGGTAATTACATTGGAAATATTTAAACCTGAGAGACAAGCCCAAATAGGTATTAAGTGCTACGGGTCAACATTCAAATTCACATGCGAACGCGAAGGGAATGCAGACTTGTCAGGTCAATAGTGCAGGATTTAGGTGGCTCTGACAGTCGCCGACGCCCCCTTGATTGGAAGCCGTGCCCACCCGGGGGCAGACTGCGTTAGTCCCCACCCCCCACCTCCTTGACTGTGAACCACAGATGAACACGAGGGTTTGTTATCATAGTTGTTGGTTTTCATCTTAGTTTTGCTTTTGTTTTTTTGTGGTTTTTTTTGCCTGTTTTCATTTCTTCTTGCTTTTAAGAGCAAAAAAAAAAAAAAAAAAAAAAAAAAAATCTTTGGCCCATTTAGGTGGGAATTTTGCATGAAAACATATACATAAATAAATGTGCTCTGCAAGCAAGCGCCCTGTCTCCTCCAACAGTTCAGCCTGGCCATTGTATCACTGGAGTGCACAACTCTTTACAGAAGCAAGCCCGACCGGAGCAAAGTGGTCAGAAAAATAAATACACAGTTTTAAAAACGGGACAGCTGAGCCTGTCACTACTGCCCAGAGGCAGTAGGTTATTTCATTCCATGATCCTTAAGTGTTACATTAAATATGGAAGACGATTCAGTGCATAATCGCTTTTTGGTCAATCAGACTCTCCATAAAGGCACTCCCCACCCGAAGGATAGCACCTGTCACCGGTGACTCATGGTGGGTCACCGAGATGGCGTGGCCTCCTGTTCCCATCTCCCCGCATCTCCGCTGGCAAGGAGAGGGGTCCTCCCTCCCCAGGTGGGGTTAGAAAGCACGCCCGGGGCCTCCAGGTGCTGCACTGTCCTGACCCTTCTGAGGTCACTCTTCCCGTTTCTTGAGCTTTTTTTCCTTCGTCAGTGGTCAACGTCACGCCCTCCTTGCCATCAGCCCGGGGAAGCAGTAATCCCGAGGCACGTCCTGTACCTTTTTATTCTTCAGTGACTACGGCAGACATGGTCATGATCTCCCTCGCTCCCCGTTTCTGACACACGCACACTCTTTCTTTTGTCGCTTAATGATGCAAGGAAGGCGGGCCGAAGAGAGGGCTCTAGGCCAGCTACCCTCCCAAGGAAACGGGTCTTTCTAGGGGTAGGGAAGCCACAGGAAACGCTTATTTACAGGGTTATCCGCTCCGTAAACGAGAAAGGATAAGATGCTCACCATTCCACCTGAAGGTTTGCAGAGCACATCTTTCCTACGGTCTCCCTTTCATTAGGGCCTCACGTTTTTAAGGCACTGGGTTTGAAGACTTGCACGGTCAGTAAAAACTACAGAATACGGGATGCTTAACTCGCTTCAGACACGGAGAGGCACACACAGACTACCAAGCCAGACGAGGACAGAGTTACTACCCACAGGGACACAAAACTGGTTCCCAAAGCACAAGGCTTCCATTAGTGCATTATACACGCGTCAACTACGAACAGTCTAACATCTCTGCCTGGAACGCTTCTCTCTCTCTGCACAAAAAAAAGCTCCGATAAAAAGTAAATGCCCGTTAAGGACCAGGTATTTGGTCCCCACCGAGGAAACGTGCCACTGTCATTTCCCACGGGTGAAGTCACAACCCCACTAGTCCCTTAACTAGCTCAACCAGATTTTTATCCCATATAGAAACGCAGTATGGCTGCAAAAACTTTCTGGGGGGGGGGGGGGCACCTTATCAAACATTCCCAAAGTCAGGACCTGCCAGGAAGTAGTGGGATTATACTTCACAGGGTGAAGAAGGCTGTTCTAGGAAACAAACAACACCACCAAACCCCGGGCGGGAAGGAAAACTTCTGGGTTTCTTGAGCGATTTTTCACCCCGAGCTATAATCAGGAGCAACAGCTACTTTTCATTTGGTTTTTATCAGCAGAGCTTGTTTTCCTTCATGGTGGCTCTCGTGGGATTACTTTCTGGAGTTGGAGCTGAACCCAAACAAACCGATGATGTCAGTCATGGCCTGTTTCAGGTGCTTCCCAAAGCGATGCGAGTCCTGGCGTTCAAAAACAAAAACCGGGAAAACACACGTTACGACGCGTAAATCCCCATACCGTGAGCCACTTACAAACGGCCCCTTGCAAACATTCCTCTTTGCCAGTTCTCGAAGCTCTGACTTTATGGCTTCATCACTACGTCACGCGTCCTGAAGACGTGCTGAGGGTTCGCAGAGATAACCGGCCGTGTGCGTGTGCGGGTGTGCTTTTGCTGGAAGGCCACCCCTCATGGCAACACGTTACATAAAACACGATAAATAAATGAATTCCAGTCCTCTCTGCTAACAGGGCACTTGGCATTGCTTTCAGGCGTTGCTTTCCACGTGGAAAGGAAGCATAGAGACAAGGATAGGGGGCTCCAGCGTGGCTCAGTCGGTTAAGCGTCCAACTTCGGCTCAGGTCATGACCTCACAGTTTGTGAGTTCAAGCCCCACGTCTGGCTCTGTGCTGACGGCTCGGAGCCCGGAGCCTGCTGCGGATTCTGTGTCTCCCTCGCTCTCTGCCCCTCCCCCGCTCACACTCTGTCTCTCTCAAAAATAAACATTAAAAAATTTTGTTTTAATTTTTTCAGTTAATTAGGTTGAGAGAGGAGCGCCTGGGTGGCTCAGCTCGTTATGCATCCCACTCTTGTTTTGGTTCAGGTCGTGATCCCATGGTTCGTGGGTTCAGGCTCCGCATCGGGCTCCATACTATTAGCACAGAGCCTGCTTGGGATTCTCTCTCTCTCTCTCTCTCTCTCTCAAATTAAATCAACTGAAAAACTTAGGTTAAGAGAATTTTTAAATTCATTTATTTGAAACAAAGTCCAAGGCACGTAAAAGTATACAGTTGGTCTTTTCCATCAAAGTGAGGAAAAACACTTCTGTCAAATTAAAAAGAAGGCCGTAAAAACACCCCGTCTTTAGAAAAGGGGGCCCTGTTTCGTACTTACGGTCTCAGGGCAGGAGAATTTGGAAGATATGTGGAAGTTGATGAGGTTCTCGCCCACGAGGATGTAGGACACCCCATACCCATCGTCCGCAACCTACAGAGCAAGGCAAGTTTCAGCTGAACCTCGGGGAAGGAGATGATGTGAAAACGGGACTAACATTTTTTCCATACAAGACTGGCATTAACGCCTGCGTTAACAATCTGCAGAATTCCTCTACAGCGGTGCCCGACAAGGCAAGGAGGGGCGCGTGGTACGTTCCGGAAGACCTGAAGCAGAGGCGGACGGGAGGGCGCGTCCTGTCCCCGACCTGCAGCTCTGTGTACATCACGCTCAGTCACTTACCGGTCCAAAGCCCCCTCCGCTGGACACGTACTCTGGATTCTTCTCCAAATTGAACAGCTCTACCTGCTGCTGAGGGGTCTGGCTGGTTGATAATCTCCAAGGCTCTGATAAGACCTGTTGAGGACAAGGAGATTCTCTCATGGCGCTTTTTTAAGAAATGTTTTTAACGTTTATTTATTTTTGAGAGAAAGAGAGAGACAGAGCACGAGCGGGGGAGGGGCAGAGAAAGGGGGAGGCACAGAATCTGAACGAGGCCCCAGGCTCCACGCTGTCAGCACAGAACCCGGTGCGGGGCTCGAACCCATGAACCGTGAGATCATGACCTGAGCCAAAGTCAGATGCTTAACACCCAGGCGTCTCTCCCATGACACTTCTCCCTGTACCGTCCTCTTCTGTCCCTGAGACAGGAAGCCCCACTGGAGAAGGAAAAGGCTTGCTCGGTGTCTGGGTGGTCACGGACGCCACAGGTCTGCGGCCCTGAAGGCCTGGCTGTCTGGGGGCAGTATGTGTGCAGAGAAGGCCTGGGGCAGATGAGGGCACCCAGATGGTTGGGGGATGGGCAGCACCAGCAGAAAAGGGGGCGGATACATTAACTAAGATTCGGAAAGGGGGCTGTGCTGCCCGGAAGCAAATTCACAGGAAGTCTTCGAGTTGCCTGTTAAACACGGCATTGCTAACAATTAAATTTTATAGCTCAAAATTAAACTCCATTACAGGGGGTGGGAGGGAGGAGAGGGTGGGTGATGGGTATGGAGGAGG